TCAACGAGTCGGGAAAGATGGAGTGTTTAAGAGAAGAATTAATAAGATCGCAGATGATCGGCGCAAGAATAGGTGTAGCCTCTTTGACTATTCTTCCAGTTAGTACTCCACTTACTGCTTTATTTGGTCTAATTTTGTTCATCACTTTCATTACATCAGCAGGGGCGACAGTTATCAATGACATTCTAGCTGTTGTTTTGTAAGAGAAAGAAGGAAGTTGCTTATGTGTTTGTTTAGGAGACATAGAACAGGTAGAAGCAAAATAATTGTTAAACAGCATAGCCTTTTCCTTTCGATCATCAATAATTTTCTTTCTACTGGACGAACTACCCATGTCCTTCATTTCGCTAAACCTCGGAAGGAAATTTCGGGATTTATTCGGGATATTTTAAGTTTTTTTTTATATTCCAAATAACATTTTAAAACAAAACAAACTAGCTTTTAATTTTCAACTGTGTACTACTTTTCAATATAAATTTCTTCTTGCTTTCATTTTCCTTGAAGAAATTTTGCTAAAATAATTGTACATTTGTAATGGATACCTCACACAATCCTTTTGAGGTATTGATAAGTCTGATCCCGGGTTGCTGGTATAAATAATCTTGCTTTTGTGCAATATGTTTGTCAAGCCGATTTGCATCAGTAACGCGAACGCGGTAAGAAAGAGTTAAATTTCTATATTTTTCTTATTTATATCTGTTGTACATATACCGGTACGATGCAAAACAAAAAGTGAATAATTCGCGAGCGCGATCTGATCTTTTCTATGGGGATACGAGTTCTTACCAAATGTCAACAGATTTTATTCGGATTTTCCAGAAACAGTGGAATCTTATTAAAACTGATAGAAAGTTCGATATGGAAATAAACAAAAGAAAAAGTAGCCATGTCTACTAGTTAAAACTATTGCCTATTAGCAACAAATGAAACAACTCTTTAGCTGTTTTTGTTCATGCGTTATGGCAGTTGCATTGTTGCGTTCATTCGTTTTCGGCGCATCTTCCGGTGAAAAATGAGATTTTCTTATGAATTATTAGACACAATAAAGTTATATGAAATTTGGCGTTTGAGACATTTGCTCGAATGAAATATCCTCGAAAGCGATAATCTCGAAAATAATTTGCTCGAATGAAGTTTTCTAAAGCACAATGTCCTCGAGTGGAAACTTCCTCGAATTTCCCAAACAAAAATTATTAATATTATTTGCAGCGTTTTTCTACAACTTTTAAATCAAAACCGTTACTGAATTAAATATCCTCATCCCAGTTTAGAACAACAACTAGCTGCTATAGCTCGTAATACTCATTTACAAATTTTATACTTTAAATAAAGCAGTTTCATTAATAGATAACTGAGATAGATTCGGTTGCCTTGTTGGGTATTTATCTGTATCTGCTGTCATTTTTTGTGTTCATCTTTAGTATTTCTTTTCTTCTATACTGCAAATAATACTGATAATTTCTGTTTGCAAATTCGAGAAAATTTTCATTCGAGGAAATTCTATTCGAGAGAACTTCATCCGAGCAAATTTTCCCCAATCAAAATTTGGTTCTTTTCTGTGTGATCAGATTAAGACGTCCTGTTCCTCAATTTTTTCCAGTCAATTCTGACATTGTTCCACATTATTAGTCAGTTAATTGTGGACATATGTATACTGTTCCAAACAGAGTTTTTCATCGTACAAAAATGGATAGTCATGTGAATTATAATCTTTCATTCAGGTCTGACCAGATATTTTATTAGTTGTTCGAATGTATTGATAATCCTGTGCAGTTTATAACAGACAAGGCGCCAGTAATTCAAAATTCAGATGGATTTTATTTTTTTTTCTTAAAAGCACATAACTCGATGCAGTTTCATCTGGTGATCACGAATCTGATCTTCTCCTCATGACAGAAAAGCACTAAATTAATTTGCTCTTATTTCTTTCGCTTTGAGCTGACAATGAACATTTAGGGCTTTTCTTGGAATGAAAACTCGGTCAAAATGGAAAAGGAGGTCAGATGCGTGACCACCAGATGAAACTGCATCGAGTGATGTGCTTTTAAGAAAAAAGTAAAATCCACTTGAATTTTGAATTACTGGCGACTTACATCTGCTTTATGATTTTTGAGCAATGATCCTTTCGACTAGGACTAGCTTAAAAAACTAAGAAAGAAGACGATAGTTCCAATAAATGTTTATAAACAAAAGACGTTAGGAAGAAAGTGATAGTTTGCATTTCAGAATCGTTTAAAAGACTTTATTTTCAGGATAGTAATTCTCTGTTTTGCTACGTATATATAAATATATATCATAGTTTTAACTGAAATATTATTTTTCAGCAAAATAACTAATCGTTTTTCCAAAAAATGGAGTCTGCTATTTCAACGTTTACATGACGAGATATAGAGCGTCTTTTAAGGTTTCAATCTCTTTATTCATGTTGTCTCTTATTTTAGCTCGTCATGCTTATTCTCATCCCATTCATCATACCCATTTGCCAGTAGAATATTTGAATGCTAATGATTATTATGAATTATTAATAAAAAAAAGTATTTTGGCTGTACAAGAATCTAAGAAACTGAATATACAAAATAGAGATCTGCTCTTGTCGTATCTAGCATCGTTTTCACATGACCATTTCGCATTTGACTTACATTTACGCACTTTCATACCATCTTTAAAAGCAATGGCAACTGACGAGCAACAATTAAAATATTTACCATTGGGTGAATCGTGTCAAATTGTGGCTGCATATGCACAAACTGAATTGGGCCATGGCAGTGATTTGCAAATGCTCGAAACAGAGGCTGTTTATGACCAAGAAAGTGATAGTTTTATTTTAAATACACCAACCATAACATCGACAAAATTCTGGCCTGGATTATTAGGTCGTACAGCAAATTATGCGCTGTTAATGGCACAGTTGTACTCCCCCACTAGAGAAGACTATTGTGGTTTACACGCGTTTGTCGTGCAGATAAGAGATTTAGAAACACATGAACCATTACCAGGTATGTTGCTGTATTTCGGTATTTTCCTACGTGCTGTTTTCGTTTACTTTGTCAAAGGTATCGAACTGGGAGAAATTAGTGCTCCTTTGAAGAATGTGAGTGATAATGGTTATATGTGTTTGACAAACGTACGGATTCCGAGAAATCAAATGTTAATGCGGCTGTCGAAAGTATGCATGTATCAGTATACACTATTTTGTTTAGTACTGCTAGTTTGTCGGTGTTTCAACACAGGTGGACGAAAATGGCAATTTTCAACGTGTGGGTGACCCGCGTCTTCTTTACTCCTCAATGTTGTCGCTGCGTGTTTATTTGAGCTCAGCTTTTTCCATGCAATTGGCAAAAGCAACAACAATTGCTACGAGATATTCAGCTGTACGCCTACAGGGACGAAACGATGAAGGGTAAGCAGACTATAGATTCATCCGAGATTCTTGTTGAGAGGGTTCCAAAGAAGAATGTGCTTCGCCTCGATGAGGTTTGAAATAGTAAACTCGTTTTACAAAGAGCAAGTCACCACTTGAATAGTAGAGCAATTAGAATAGCAGGCCTGTTATACAACAAACTAATCTGCAGAACTGAAAAATCAACTTTAAACTCTGCTCTATCGTCTGGATATCTGAGAAGAATCCTAGAAGTACTTGAGGCAGGATTTTCAGATCTTTATTTTCTCCGCACTCTAAGAAAAGAGACTTGTAGGACGATGTCGAAGTCGATTCTCGTTTAGCCACATAAATGCATCTGTTTTGACAACATGTACAGGGTACACCAAAAAAACTTACCCCTTTTTGAAATATTATTTCTGCCCCTCTACAATTCACTTTTTGGCCCAGTTCTTTTTGTGACAGATGGAGCTGGGAAAAGCCTACTAGATAGCTATATTTTTATTTTTAAAACGTTCCACCTAGTGATGGGACGAAACGACTTCGAATATAACGAAACAGTGGTAAAATATATTCACAATAAGAAAGAAAGAAAGTGAACAATCGTTTTGCTTCGGTCATTTCTTTTCTCCGCTTTGTTTTGTTTTATTCAAATATGTCGATATTTTCGTTCGTTCGCATCGTGTGAAGGAAAGCTGAACCTGTACGTCAGACGTTAAATTTCTTTTCGACCGTGATTAAATAGAGAAACAAAAGACTAATAAGAAATAGCGTGTTTATTTCGTTAGAATAAGAAATAACGTAAGACGTGTTTGTTTCGTAAGAATCTACACTATGTCATTTATGCCGTATTCATAAATATATAACAGGTGCAAGTACACCACCGGAGAGAATGTTTTCGACCGGTCATTTGACAACAGACAGACGAGCCCGACTAATTCCCGATAACGTTGACATGATATTATTTTTAAATAAAAATAGTAAAAAATAGTTTGTTTCTCCTATTATTTTTTACGCAGGTGTATAGGTCCAGGTGATTTGTTTAGTAATTAGAATTTTGATATCTATTTTTTGAAAACACTTTTATTATTCTTTTTACGCGTTTCTACATGTGTTTGTTTACGTAGATAACAACTTTTGAAAAACAATATTCTACTTTTTAATAAATGCTTTGTTGTCTGAATATTTTAATAAACAAGTGATGCTATTGAAGTAAACTTGAGATAAATGTACTATCTGAACTATCCGTGTGCGGTGACTCACTTAGGACATTGTCTAGAAGAAGATGAGATGATGTGAAACTTCATAGTTGTACACGTTTTTCACGCACAACTAATGGTTATGTAATATAAATTTGTGACGAGCGAGAGTCTTTACAACTATCTTCCTTTTCTTTTAGCTACCGTAGTTAGTTTGATTGAGACATCAGAATGTCAACTAACCTACTTCATGTTGTATTGTTTCTCTCATTTTTACGTTCCATATCGTCCAAAAAGAAGAAAGGATCTAATTGGTTCTTTCGTGATAGTCATTTAGCCTAATCTAGAAGATATTTATTTATTTCGTAAGAAGCGTCTTTCGTTCGTTTCGTCGTGAGATTGTTCTGTTTCTTTCTATATAAATGTTCTTTTTATGTAATCTTACGAAACAGACCGTTAGCCGTAAATTTCTTTTTGCTTTTCGATATACGAATACTGAAGGAACGAAAGCGAACAAATTATGCTTTCTTACGTCCTTCGTCCCATCACTAGCGCCACGGTAAGTGGGGACAAAAAAGAAATTCATTAAATATGAAATCTGTGCTGGAACGATATCCCCTCACCGGACAGCAAAAAAAGATCTCTCACCAACAGTTAGTTTGGCTTGAAATTTGGCGTAGCTATAGTGGTACTAGTATACTCACTGCGGAAAAATTTTGATCTACAAAAGATTATTTTTTCAAGATTTTTTTCGTTTCCATAGAATTATTTAAGTTTGATGCTAATTACTGCTCCATGCTTCGTTATTATATTGTACTTTGTTTCTTATTATGAAACCGAAATTTATCAACAATTTATACATATTGTTGTAGCCCTTGACACGCTCTATCTGCGGTAAATAATTGATTGTAGTTAAAACAAATTCCAGCGATGAAATAACCAAACTAGTATGGTACGTCGTTTTATGCCAAAAATATGGAATACTGCTGTTGTACGGATATATTAATAATAGTAGCAAACTAGCGATAATTTCAAGTAATTTATACGTGTACTTAAACTGTGAACGTCTAGAAATATAGCCTGAAAATTTCAGGTCATAATACTGTTTTGTTATTGAATTATTGAACTTTTACAAAAAAAACAAAAATAGCAAAACTTGATTTCTTCCCGGAATATATTTCATATTTAATGAATTTCTTTTTTGTCCCTACTTACGGTGGAACGTTTTAAAAATAAAAATATATTTATCTAATAGGCTTTTCCCAGCTCTATCTATCACAAAAAGAACTGGGCCAAAAAGTGAATTCTAGAGGGGCAGAAATAATATTTCAAAAAGGGGTAAGTTTTGGCGCGCCCTGTAATGCGACTCCCTGCAGTAGACACATTCATCGGTCTTTTTCTAAGTCGCTTAGAAGACTAGTTGCTTTGAAATGCCTTCTTGAAAAAACATTAAAATTATTTTGGTTCCTCTCACGAGCTGAACTTGCTCTATTTGCTTCACAGTCGAATACGCTAATCATTGACGTACATAAGTACATTAATTATTAGTTTTACTCTCCGGATGTAGTATTCATCGGAAAAGCGATTTGACACCTGGAAACGTTCCCACGTAAATTCTCAACAAAAAGTGAGATTCGTGTTGTCGAGTAGAGTACCACACGATGACAAGACGTAGCACAGAGCAGAAAAATAACGTGCCTGCGTGGTCTATTGTTCCACGATAAGAAAAACATTGATTTTTCCCAAGCAAACTGCGCTGTCCCTACAGTTATAAATATTTAGGTAACAGCACTTTTGAACTCTCAAGATTTCCGTGTATTTGAATAGAAATACAGAAGCTGGACTAAACATGCCAGATTTTTCTTTTATTAGTGGAATTCATCAGAGATGCTCGGCTGACGGGGTTACATAACTTTCGGCCAGGAGGACCTTCGACGCGATCCGACAGTCCAACGATCTTTTGGCCCGGGTTAAAATTTCTCCAGGACTTTGGCCAGAAAAGTTCAAAGCATTGGCAACGTTCATGAAGAGAACATTGATTAGTTAGAAGTTGTTCGGAGGAGCATCATTTAGTATCCTGCTAAGCACTACGCTTTTTTATGTTGGCACTTTGTTTAGACAAGTAATGACTCTCTCATACGACGATAGCACTCCTAAAGGGATCAAAGCAGAGTGCTGAGCACTACGCAGTGTGCCAACTATTTATAGAAATACGGTTAGGGAGCGAAGCTCTAGAGGGAGCTCGGGCCATCGCCGAAAGTACGGCGAGAAGTTAGGTCCGGGTCGAACGTCTCTGTTGTTTCAATGTGACTTTGTGTCCTGGACAGAAAGTCTAGGCCGAAATTCCGGTGTCCCGGCTGACGTTCTCACCTGATTCAGCATTGTCCTTGTTTGCTTATTATTAGAAAGGAAATATTAATAATAGATTATCCACTACAACAAAATAAAATATTTCCATCCATTGCCACAAGCTATGCATTTATATTTACATTTAAAAAGTTGCAACAAACATACAATAACATGATATCTAGTGAACAAGAAGAAATGCTGAAACAATTACCGGAAGTTCGAGTTTCGGTTTTTCTATCTAACTTTATATTTTTACACTTGTGAATTTTTACTTAGATTCATTCATTATCAGCTGGTTTAAAGGCATACATCGCAACACATTGTGAACGTTTAAGTCAAATGTGTCGATTCGCTTGTGGTGGCCATGGCTGCCTAATTCCAAGCGGGCTGATTGGTATCAAATTAACACTCGATGAAGCCTGTACTGTTGAAGGTGAGAATTCTGTTATGTTACAGCAGACAGCCAGGTATGTTGTGTATAGAAAGTACATGTGGGTTTTGTATATATTTTATGTATACATACAGATATTTAATGAAAGTTATTCAGAATGGTGATGATTACTCAAAATCACCATCTATTACTTATCTGAAAATCATAAATAGTGAATTTAAACAATTGAATGGTTTACAAGATTATTGCAAATTATTTGAAATAAGAGCAGAGAGGTAACATGATCATACAAAAGTGTTTCCTTATTCGTATTTTTTGATATTTCCTTCCTTGAAAATTTTAGACTTATAAGAACGATGTATGCAGAATTAGCCTCGTCATCATCGTCGTCATATGAAACGTTCATTCGAAATTCTACTCAGCTGGTTCATATGGCAGAAGTAATGTCTTTTCGCACTTAGTTCTCACTTAATTTGTACGTCCTAGACCAAAAATAATCGCAAGTTGAATTTTCAACTAATAATAGCATAAACCACAGAGGGAATACATCCCTCGGTTAACTTACGACGAAACTTCACGAACTGTCACATCGCTTTTTCAGTCAAACCTAGTGGGTTATACGTTACCAACTATGCTGAATCCGAATATCATAGTGGTAGCTGCCCAGGGGCTTTCAGTGAGCGACTTTCGAAAAAACTAGTTTTTTAGAAACTCTAAAATCTAACCAAAACCTTTTTTAATGAGGCATAACTGCAGCCCATAAATTTCTGATTAAAATGAGACATCTCTCAGCTCTGCACGACCGTTCTTTGCAAAGTTATAGAATTTACAAGAAAAGCCCTAAAGTAATTTCTTATTTCTGTAGCTTTGAGCTGGCAATAAACATTTAGGGCTTTTCTTGCAAATTCTATAACTTTGCAAAGAAAGATCGTATAGAGACAGCTGGGAGATGTCTCATTTTAATTAGAAATTTGCGGGCTACAATTATGGCTTATTAACAAAGGTTTTGGTTACGTTTTAGAGTTTCTGAAAAACTAGTTTTCCAGAAAACTGCTCACTGCAAGCCCCTGCGCAGCTACCACTATGATATTCGGATTCACCATAGTTGATAACCTATAACCCACTAGATTTGACTGAAAAAGTGATATGACAGTTTGTGAGGTCGCCTCGTTACTCTAACCGAGTCTGCACGGATTACTATACTTGCATAAATGAATTTTGTTTTCATTTTTTAGGCACACCTTGAAACATTTGTATTACGTTCATTTTATAATAGCATTAAGAATATCACTGGTAATAAAGTAGTTTCAGCTGTACTTGAACAGTTATTTGAATTGTTTGCAATCTATAGACTAAAAATGAATACATTTGATTTTCTTCAGGTGTGTTATTCGTACTGTTTAATCTTTGATAGTCAGTTACTTAATCTTGTTTTTTTCTAACTGTTTAGTTTGACATATTATCAAAAGAGAAAATCAATTTCTTAATAAATAAACGTTTAAATGAGTTGTATTGTCTTATACGCCCAAATGCCGTTTCTTTAGTAGATGCATTTGATTTTCATGATAACGAATTAAGTATGTGCGTGTATGTGTCTTGAGAATTTGAGAAAAAATAATATTGTTTTCTATCAAGATTCTGTTATTGGACAATACGATGGGCACGTGTATGAAGCATTAATGAAACAATCAAGACTGAACCCGTCGAACAAAACAAAAGTAAGTTGTGAATTTGTTATATAACAACTGTATTTGGTTTTTCGTATTCTCAATAGTGTCAATCAGTTTTTAGTAACTAATTTTCTTTTTTATAGGTTCCTGAGGCATGGAAGAAAAGTCACTCAACTTTAACAAATATTGAAAACTCAAAACTATAATAAATAAGCGTTAGTTTTCTTTTCTATAGTTTCCAACGAACTGTTTTATATCTATTATGGTGTTTTTGCATATACTGATGATTTTCCACGAAGGTTTCCACGATCGTGAGTAACATTCCTCAAATAAAAAAACAACACTGATACGGTATGCGATGCTAACATGAGTTGTTAGATTTACGGGATTAACCATGGTGGAATCCTAACAAGAATCCTTAGGTCTAGATTTAGGAAAAAAGCATATTTTTCTTCTTTGAAAACATGAAAAACCGATGGAGCATGAAAATTTGTCTAAATGTTATTCAACGCTGGATCGAATCGACTGATGTTTATCTCTATCCTATGCGAGTATTTTAAGTTTTTTCATGTTGAAAAATTATCGAGATTTTGAGATACACATCAGTCGATTTGATTCATCGTTGAATAATAAACATTTAGAAAAAAAAATAAGTCTCCAGCTCAAAATTTTAATTTTTAAATTACATGTTAAATTTTAAAAATTTAACTTTTTCTAAAATTAAATTATTGTGTCTCAGAGAAGTGATAGAAATTTAATTCAAATGTCATTTGATAGAGGATTAAAAATTGAACAGACGTAGGATTTTGTCAATGTAGTTAGTTCCGTATCACGTAAACTTGGTTTTCTATGAGTTTTGCGAAAAAGGCGGAAATCCGCTCGTAATTCTCAATTTTCTCTAACAGAATTTAACTTCTAAAATATCATATCCGGAATCAGGATCAAAAATCAAATCGATTGATGTGTATTTAGAATTTTAACATTTCACGAGAATAAAGTATGAAACAGACTTTTAACTTTTATCAATCCTAGGACTAGACAGGCTTGCAAGTTTAGCCAGCGGTCCTATTACCATCCTGCTCGTCTTCAACGGTCTCAAAGTCAATTTGAATTTTGAAACTTCCAGAATCCGTTTTCCAGACCCATTTTTTGATGATGAGTAAGAAAAAGATTGTTTTGGAATTTTAAAAATAGACTAAATGGTTGAATTTTGAGTTTTATTCAAACTTTTGCTTATTTTCACCTATTTTTGAAAAATCGACATTTAGAATTTTATAACTGAAAATTGGGCGATAAAGTTTTTTCTATGTAACTCGATGTGCTCTATCCAGCTATAGCAAACAAACTAAAAATACAATTCTGTACCTTAAAAGAAAAGAAGAGAAAGAAAGAATGTGTATATATTTAAAAATTAATACTTTCTATGTCATTCCCCCCTAATATCCACAGGTGTGGAGATTTTGTTGCTGGACACGGTGCATCAAGACAACTTCACAGAAAATTTCTTTTCTTGTGTAATTGTGGAAAGAAGCCTTGTAGGAATAGTTATCTATCGCTACATCTGAAAATTCTTGTATTGCTGAAGCTGTGGAAAAAGCTTTTAAAAAAATCCGAGATCCATAGAAAAAAATTTCTGTTTTACCAATGGAGAGTTTATGAAGTCTCTAAGGTGGGAACAAAATCCGTTTCTGATACGGCGCTTCGTTATTTTGTATATCGATTTTATAAATGTCTGTGGACATCCCGAGGTAAAAGGTTAATGATACCAATATCTTTACAAATTCATGACTTCAACATGCTTTGGAGAAAATTTTGTATCTTTCATCAGGAAGGAGCGAAGGAGCTCAAACTTTTGTCATATATAGGCCATGGGAGCATAAGTCCGCACTTAAAATATTAGCTTGATCCGAGCTTCCATTATGGAGTGGCTGCCTACGTCGAGTGCCAGTTTAAACAAAAAGTTTTGGAATTGTTATATTTCGAACAACCAATGAGCGGTAAAGCTCAAACTTTCAGATTCTTATGACCACTAAGGCTACTAGCTGTAATGAAAATATGAGCTCAATCGGATTTCTTTTGGTCGAGAAATCAAAGATTCTTCAACAAAATTGAGTTTTTTAATAAAAACCTGAAATATCTCCAACTCCACTCTAAAGCACATTGGGTTCAAACCGACTTGGGATTATTCACAGATCCCTGTTCCCTATATGATGAAAATAGTCTGAGTCCAAAAGCAATTTATCACCTCGAGAGGTTCCGTCGTAAGTACGAGTGTACAACTTCAAATGGGAAAGAACTATCTCAATAACAGCGTATATGAGTTCTTCATAAAATCGATGGCGAATCGTGGATAGTCAAAAACCTTTTACTACGCCTTTTTATGGATTTTATTTCCTGTCAGAGATAAAGGTTTAGTAAAGGGTTTTTGACGTCTGCCATACCTTTTTTCCATCATTTTACCAAACTATAACAAGTATCTGATTAAGACACATTTCTAACCCTTATAGGTTTTGTACGCTACGCTTTTTTTTAGACTGTGAACTTGTTGACATTTTGTTGTTATTATTATTTTTCTTATTTTCAACTCTTGAATCATCACTTTCATTATTCTTGTTATCTTGCTTTTTCTACTGTTTTGCATTGTTTTTTGATGTTGTTGTCCTGTCTGACTCAATTTTCTAACACGGCCATTAAAAAATTTTGGTAATGACGATCGTGTAGCATTCTGAGGGTATAACTTCGTGTTATGACTGAACTTCTAATCCTCAGATTGTCTGATGGGGTTGTCGTTTATTCATAGTAAAAATTGTCATAGCGGAACAAATGCATCATTTAGATATACAAATCCGCCAGAAGGAAAAACCTGGTAAGTTATGAAAGGATCCTCTCTATCACGAATCTTATTCAGCTGACGGAAAACATCCCACAGTTTTCGACCAAGGTTCTAAAAATTCGTTTGGTATCGACTTTGATTTTCAACTCAAAATCGAAGATTCTTACGAACTTCTAAAATGACACCGAATTCACGGATCAACATCCAAAGAACTTTTTGAATCCATGAGAGGATCCATAAAGCTTTACAGTCACCGACTCCGAATCAAAAAATCTTGTTGTCTTGCGTCACCAAGCTCAAAATCCTTATGGATTCCGCTGAGAGCTAAAACAACCGTCAGAGCTTCCGACTCTGAATCCTGAAATTCTTACGAATTCCGCTTCCGGCAAAAAATTCATTACGGCCTGAGCTTTCGAGTCAAAGAGGAGTCTTATGGCCTTCGACTTCGAGAAAAGTCTTTCACACTTGAACTAATTCAATCTTCGTCGCTTGCACATTTCATTCGATCTTTAGTGAATAATTGAAGTATTAGATAACTTATCCCTACAATAATATTGCCTCTGTTTCCTTTATCTTATTTTTCAAAGCACTATTGTGCACAACTCCTTCAGATTTTAGGGCTTATGTGGGCTTCGACCACAATACCTTTGTTGTTATTTTTAATCTTTGACTTAAAATCTTTTACATGCACTTAATAGCATATAAATCTTATATAAAAGGTGAATCGGTCAAGCAGTTAAAAAACATGTACAAAATTTTTGTTTCAAAAAAACAAAATACAATGAAGTTACTATTCATTCTTCATATTCTAATTCTTTTTAATTGTATTTTTGCTTTGAAGAAAAAGGAAAAACGTCGTCAACGTCTTGCAATAATTAACAGAGTTCGTAATCATTTATATCAGGAAGATTTATTTCGTGCTATAGTAGACGATGATGATGGCGATGATAGTAATAATATAACAACCAGTTGGCTACCTAATAGTAATAAAATTGGTATTGGTTATAATCCATTGTATGGTAGTCCTGTTTGTTATACTGGTATATGTCATAGTGAAGGTTTTCGACGATCAATATTTGATTTAACATTTAAACAGCCAACAGAAGGAACATGCACAAATAAACTGATACCAGAGAATGTTGAACTTGATTGTGTACCATCATCGGATATTGTTGCTACGACAGAAAGTGTTGGAACATTATCAGAACTATCCAAATCTACATCAGACGGTATTTCATTTGGCGTTGATTTTCAATACGGTGCATTTTCAGCCGGTTATGGTCATTCAAAAGAAACAACATTTATGATTGATAATATTATTAAGAAAGATACAACAGCTATGCATACAATAGCGAAAGTAACATATGCTAAACTGTCAATGTTTGAACCATTCATGGAGTTAAGCGATACATTTCGTTATGTTATCGATGAAATGCCCTGTTGTGATTATGATGATGCGATCGAAAAGTATTTACACGAATTTGTAATCGATTATTTTGGTTTTACATTTATTACAGAAATTGTGTTAGGTGGTATTGCACAAGAAATATTATTTATTGATAATGCAGAGCGAAGACAGATGGAACAAAACGGGCATTCTGTATCAAATTCGGCCTCGATTGGATTTTTTATAACAATGAAAATGGAAACATCAGCATCACAAAATCAAACACAAACAGATGAATTTAAAAAATCAATTAAAACATCACGTTCAACAAAATTAGGTGGTGATCCATCATTACAATCAATTTATGATTGGAAGAAATCCGTACCATCAAGTCCAATAGTTATGCATCTTACTGTCGGAAGTAAGCCAAACTTTTCTCTTGGTTTCTTGTGAAAAGACATTTCTCTAGTATTTTAACTTCGATTTTAAAGTGAAAGCATAGATTTTTGATTTTCATGTTGCATTTATTTCTTCAGATATTGTTAACTTATTGTCAGAAAATAGATTTCCAAATGATTCATTGATTCACAATAAATCTCAACTATTAAATATGGCTATACAACGTTATCTACAGCCGAATAGTGCATTCTGTTACAACAATTGTACAGATATAAATCATGGTCAGTGTGATACAAGTGGCTATTTTTTATTTGGAAATTGTAAATGTAATCCAAGTTGGTCGGGATTAGATTGTTCACAAAAAGGTATTTTCGAAAAAATGAGAATAGCTTTTCCTTATTGTTTTAGAAAGAGAAAAGACCTATTTAGGTCAGTCTGCAATTTTGAAAAATATCTGATTCGCTCTTATAAATTTCTTTTATAACTCTTTTAAAAATAGTTCACTGATTCTTTATACTAGGTAAAACATGCAAACAAAAAAATGCAACTTCTTGTATGAAACCTAGTTGGGCTACGCATGGTATGACTGTGGCAGGCGGAAAAGGCTACGGTGCAACTTTAGACAAACTTTATTTTGCAAAAGGGATTGTCTTAGGGGCAAATAATACGATGTATATTGCCGATCAGAGTAATCATCGTATATTAAAATGGAAGCATGGAAATGGTGAAATTGGTCAGGTCGTAGCTGGTGAAACAACAATGAGTGGAACTAATGCTACTCAACTCTATAATCCTGCGGCAGTAGCATTAGACAAAAATGAAAGTCTTTATGTCTTAGATTTATATAATGGTCGTGTACAAAAATTTATGAAAGGATCATCGCAGGGGATTACTGTTGCTAGTAAGTGATATGTGCTGAGAATAGAATATAGTTACAAACATATCTTTTCTTCTAGGCGGGTTTAGTACTTCAGCTGGTATGCACGTCGATAGTGACGGAAATGTTTACATTGTGGATTCTAGTTCTCACAGTGTAACGAAACATGTTGCTGGTGTAAGTATAATTGTAGCTGGTGGTAACGGAATTGGAAATGATTCCAATCAACTGAACAATCCCATTTCCGTTTTTGTTGATCAATGTAAAAATATTTACATAATTGATCAAGGCAACTACCGTATTCAACAATGGTCAAATGATGCTAAATGGGGAATACCTATATTTACATGGACAGCAGGTGTGTATAATTTCCATCATATGATTGGGGACGATTATGGTAACATTTACCTAACGGATAGGTATGATTCACCTCTAAATTATGTTCTTGTTTCTTTTATTTACTTTCAGTTTTTATTTTCTTGTTAGCTATTCCGTCTACAAATGGGCACCCGATGCACCATATCTCACCCGAATTGCTGGAACCGGTACTATTGGTTCGGATGCTCAGCATCTTTATCTACCCTATGGTTTGGCATTTGATCCAGATGGTAATCTCTTTGTTTCTGATACGTATAACTATCGTGTACAATTGTTTACATTGGATTCCGGTAAATTCGGTTGCTAAATTTTTTTCATTAGTAAAACATATACATTGTACACATGCTTTTTTATAATTTTTGTTGTTAATTAATAACACTTAGACATTGAATGCAAGGAATTTCATTTTCATGTAGCGTCTCTTCATAACTAGTAAGAGAGTTTATGTACTTTATACTGGATCATACGATGTGTCTGATGAGATCAGTAAAATGCTTCAACAGGAAGCTCTTTCTACTCCTTGTTTTAGTCGTACAAGAGGCAAACTAAAAGAAGGAACGGGAGGTATTTTATCTCCAGACATATAAGGGGGACTTTTCATCGTTCTCGAATGAAGTTTGACGCAGGAATTTACCGTTTCACCTTCTCGAGGAAACTTCGGAGCTAAAAGTATTTTTCGCCTCATCTTACGGCTAGTTTCGCCTGAAGCATTTTGAAGCAAAACTCTGAGTACAAAAGTTGTTCAGAATTGAATTCTGCAGTCCCTAACGAGAGTTTTTTTAAAAATGTCTTGTTTTGGTTTTTAAATTAAAAAATACGAAATTTTAAAACGTTAAAAACCGTAAAATTTAATTTAAAAATCAAAACAAGACATTTTTAAAAAAACTCTCGTTAGGGACTGCAGAATTCAATTCTGAACAACTTTTGTACCCAGAATTTTCCTCAAAATGCTTACTTCGGGCGAAACTAGCCGTAAGGTGAGGAGAAAAATTCTTCGCTGAGCCAAAAACCAGCGATATTTTCAAGTTTTGCATTTTGTCTTCAAATCTTCCCGGTCTATACAAGATACTTCGAAGTATATGTTTTACCGGCTTGCTGACATTATCTGGCTGACAAAAAAAATAAGTTACTTAAAACAATATTATCAAATTTTCGACTTAACAGACTTACCGAGCGGCGGAAAATGAACTCTAAAATTGTTAAGGTAGTCCATCTTGCAGCCCGTAAATTCTCCATCAGATGAAGTATTGCTTGAATTTTTTCCTTGAGTCATTATTTTACAAATGAAACTTTATGCTAGTAGAGTAGACTAAATTAACGTTAATTAGTACTAATTAGGCAATAACAGGATGGGAAGAACAAAAAGTGTTGCATATTTTCTCATAGAAAAGATTCTCCATACATTTCCCTATTGATGGACATATAAATGGGGAATCCCCTCTTAAGGCAGATGACGCCGCTTCTAGATGACGTGAAGGCTTTCGTTTTTAAGATCTGGGTTCCGTAGCAGTGAAAACGGTAGGTTTGTATTGCATTTGTATAAAAAGCTGTTAAGGAATATACAGTGCTCTTGTTATTTGGAATCGGTTGGTTTTTGTTCATCCGGTACTTTATTAGAAAAAACATTAAAAATCTCTTACATTTATCATATGTGAGATGCTACATATACATTTTCTGATAGAAATTCAGAAATGCCACTTCTAAACTATGGAATTAGTAGCGCTCAGAGCTGGAACCGGTCCGGTTCAGCCGGTCTGGAAGTGTAACTGGACCGGTTCCGCCTGTAAACTGGCCGGTTGGAATTCTAACTCAAACCGGTGAAAAACCAATGAAATACAAGCCAAAACTGACGAAGTTTTTTGAAAATTGATTTTCAGAAAGAATTTTCCCAGAAATAAAACAGTTTGTGCGTACATGTGAAAGAACCTTCACAATAGCGCGTCTATAACATTTAACCTCAAAACAAGTGATGGAAATAATATCTGACTTGAGCATCATCTAATTTATTCTGACTGGAAAAAACGTGAAATTTTTGTTTCAATCGATGAAATACCGGTCTCTATCGACCTGGTGCCTGTTTAAAAAAAGGCACCGGAGAAAAAAGGGTTTCATATCATGCTTGATCTAATAGTTTTGAGTTCATATCTCTTAAGTTAATAAATTTCGTTCAGTATTATAATTCAGTTCAATTTTAGTTATAACAAATAAAACCAAAATATTATTCAATATTCGATTTATTGGCTGGTGCGTGGAACAAAGAGGAACAATTCTCAGTTAAAGCAGTCAAAATTATTCTGATGTGTGAGATTTATTTTTATCCGTACAGTTGTGCTGCGAAAGAATTTCAGCTGTTAGACTTGCGTTAGATGGTAAAACTGATTGAATTCAGAAGGCCTTTCTTGTCGAAAAAGAAACTGTCGATGCTTTTATCTTACTAAAACTATATAACAAACTGAACATAAATGATAAACAAGGGATGAGCAAGTAATAGACGCTCGGAAATCGATTCGTGAGCGAGAAGGCGGCGAGGCGGCGGTGGTCTCTAATTTCTACACATGCAAGGGAGGTTTATAACTTATATAAGAAAAGGTAAAAAGGGAGAAAAGAAAACGAATAGTTAAACTGCAAATGCTCTTTGTTCTCTTTCTCTCTTCTAGCTGAATATGTTGACGTTACAATTCACAGAGATGTGTACAGTCGGAAACTTGTGTTGAAAATCTCATTCAAATAGAATTATTACATTAAACTAAATACTTTGGAATATCCGGTTACCTTAGTTTCCAAATTCTACGATCTAGTATAAGAAAATCTTAAGAGTCTGTTCATCGAGCCGGTCCACTAACCCCTTGCATGAAGATTTCACATAAAGTTTTGCATGTTTCAGCTAATGCTGCTTGGCAAAGCTATGTTTTATCACATGTAGCATAATTTTTGTCTTTTAATACTATATAGTGGACGGCTGTAGGAAACAGAGAAATAGCACTATACCGTGCTTCCATCAATTTTAAAATTTTACCAAACGAGGCTTTTATCTCGTACGACAACTTAGATGTAATAAAATCTTAGACTAATGGATTTTTTAGTTTGTGAGAATTTTAGATTTTTATTCTTATAGATGCAGGATGAAGGAGTAAAGGAATAATGATGGGAAATCATTGTCTTTGTTGCTGTTCTGTATAAAGGAAGACAAACTTTGCAGATATTATTTGCTCTAGGAGGATAAATAAATGATGATCCACCGTGATTCACTACACCTTTAGAATTTTTAAATACACGGATTAGTGTTACTTTTACAATGTTAACATCTCTGATCTAGTAATTTCATTATAATAATTAGGTGAACCGATATTATGCTCTACTCTTGTATGATGGGTATGATTATTCTTCCTAGTTACTTTTGGTCTGCATACTATACGTATCTGTAAAGGCTGATATTTGATTTAGGAAATTATGTTACGTAATGGTGCAGTCGAAAGATAGTCATATTCTGATACATACTGACAAACTGTTGCATGCACATCCATCAAATCTCACTCGAGAGACCACAGTACAAAACGCAATAGTTCATGTGAATTTTGGAAAAATGAGCTTTTTCTAAATTCGATCAGTCAATACTGAAATAAACATGTTGTTTGATAGTCCATTTCAAAGTTTTCTCTGTTTTGAGCAAGTTTCTTAAGAAAAAATCCCGGAATAATTTTCGCTCCCTTTTTGACATAAAAATGAAATTTTCTAAATAAGTTTAATTTTGAGAATTGTTTTTGCAAAGTAGACTCATATAGAGGTAAATTGCACAGAATGAATAAAGGGAATATTAGTATTTGAGCGCGAACGTGCGTTAAACGTGGTACCAAGGTAATGAATGATGCTTAAAAACATGGATAAAAGTTTTGTTTTTCTCAATTTCCCTATTCCAGATTTTATGATAAGTTAAAGTAGAGTTAATTATAGGATTTTTTGATATGTACATGAGCCTGGCAAAAGTTCATACTTTTCAAATGCCGAATTTTAGCAGTCCAACGAAAACGATAGAATGGTGCTCGTCAGGTATGGTATTCTCCACGGTATGCTGCGGTACGATCCAGTCAATAGCATGTTTTAAATATTTATGAACGATACATTTGCTTTTTGAACGATCTAATGCAGATTATTGACCAAGACCGTAGGATAGTCAAAATTCTTCTCATTAATTGACGTTTATTCACAAAAGAGCTTTATTTTGAGTCTGTTTTGATTAACATTAAAAGACATACTTTCGGGGGCGAAAGGAAATTTGAAAATTTAGTAAAATAAATTTATTTACTTTTTATGTTCTAACACACGTTGTTTTATATCTACTATAGATAGTTTAAACTAGTTTTGCTTATTGTACATTTTGACTGATGATGTGAAAAGTGTTTCACGAACCTTCTCCAATAATCAATGTTTAAATCAGTGTCTATTCTTTAGAACTGATGAGTTATACTGTTGATGGAATCACTCACGCTTTACACGTGATCAGTTGATTCATCTTTGTAATTATATTTTGTTGTATCTATTGTGTTTTATCGATTTGTGTTTTTCGCAAATGATGTCAATAAAACGCATGTATTGAAATATGTTGTTTATATCGTAGGGACTTACATGAGAGCAGAGGTAGTTTTATCAGCGTGCACGTGGCGAAAGAAGAATAATGAATGACGTTGCCAATTCAGAGTTTTATATTCGCACCTTCAACCTTTTTTTATTCAGCTAGAACTGTATTATGATCAACAACTTTGATGTATAAAAAATTAAAAATGTGCCGCACATGAACAGTAACCATCTTTGAAATGATGAATACGAGTTCTATCACGAACAATTATTTCATATTGTCTAATTTTTTATATTCGTTTTGTGGCTATCATGACGATTTCCACATACACGCAAATTCTTCGTTATTTGAATTTTCCTTGGAGATGTTAAAGAAAAAATGAAATTAAAAGCTAATGCTGCGATTTGCTAAGTAACTGAGTAACTAATTTCTTTAGTTTCTGCCGAAGTAACGAAAGTAATGAAGTAACGAAATTAGTTACTCGTTACTAGCAACTAAGTAACTAACTTCTTTACTAGTAACAAAAGAGTTTCCGGATGTGTAAATTGCGTTCAGAAGTTTAAAGTTTTAAAAATGCTGAAGCGTTTCATCACTCAAGTCCTGGCGGCTGATATGTTATGTTCTGTATCATCTTTGCATCACAAGTGCCACATTAACTAATTTTGGGCGGTTTTAAACTGCGGTCCTACTGTCAGAAAACTATATCCCGATTGGGATATACAGCTCGATCGGGATATGGTTCCTCACTGTATTTAGACCGGCACGTATTTCTAGTGTGAAGCAAAATCAAACAAATCTTTATCGACAGCGAACACAGTTTCGTCTATTTTTTAGTATTTTTTGTCGCAGAAGAAACAAAATTGTCTGCAGAAGCCTCGTCTTTGCGTTATGAATGGAAGTATATTACATGGTTCTTTCTCCCTTTTTATAATAACTATAACAACTTTAAAAAAAAAACACAGATTGACTTTGCCAATTAAGTTCGGTGAAATTATAAGTTAACTCTGTTTACACACACATCCGCGATCAATTATATCTTATCATCAGAATAACTGCCTTCCCATGACTAAAATTTCTGCGGAAAAAACGCGTTTTTTTACAATGGCCGAAATGAGACTGAAGGAGCCAGTGTACGGGTGATATTGTACGATGACGATGCCATTTGATGGGTGGAACGAATCGGATGACCATTGGATGAGGTAATCCGAGGATGAGTGCCACTGTTGCTAGCCATATCGAGTGACAGAGTAAAAGTCATATCAGTAGTGATTGTTGACGAGTAGAATGGCTCGAATGAGATGTTGGACTCAAGGCGGACACACTGTATATGCAAATATAAACTTAATTAAAAGGAACAGAAATATGAGAACCAGCTCCGTACCGAACACTTGTATAATTACGATCTGGAAAGGATGAAATCGACGACGTTTTGATTGAGCTGAAAGTAGTATTTCGAAGGGGCATCGGTAGTGTGGTTCTCGAAGCAGTCCGATTACCAAACATAGACAAACAATGAGAATTGTATCAAAAGAGAGTGCACCCCGGTCGCTCATTTTATCGCCGAATTAGATATTTTGCTTCACAATTTACACAACATTTCTATCGTCCGTCATCCTTGTACTCGCACTACTACGCAACATCTACATCCTGTTATCCCATATGATACTTTATCTCCAATTATCGAATCAAATCTATCTAAAATTATTCTATTATCGAGCAAAAACTATGGTCGTATAATAGAACGATTAGCACATCGGTTTCGAGCGGCGAATACCGTCCTTCGGAAGACAGACAAATTCAAAGTATTTCATTGGGGGCGACTCGATGATTATCAACAAAAATCCGAAGAATATATCACTCGTTTTTATACAAAAAAAGAAAATTTCGCTTTTTGGTTCATGCAAGTTTTTGATCAGAAATACCACATCAAACCTTTAATTCTTTTGATCTCATATTATCTGTAATTAGATTAATTTGATTTTCAGTACGAATCAGCAAAAGTGTGCGTTGAAGATATATTCGTTACTTTTTTCGTGGAATAATATTATGAAAGAAATTTATCCTTTAATGAGTCTAGTTTACTATAGACGCAAATGTATGTGCTATACTATAAGTGTATATAGTGCAGGAGACAAAACGAGAGAGTGTAAAGAAACACAGTAGGAAAATAATAGAATATGACTTTATTGACTGCCTAAGAAATGAACAATGAGATAGAAGTAGAATATGTACAAAGGGTGAGTGACAATACACACAATAAGAGAAAGAGAGATGAATTAGACTGGAGAAGAATGATAGTGATCATCCAGTGAAAGGAGAATTTATATTTCGTTACTGATATAAACAGCATGTGAGCATTTTTAAATGTTGTATTGTGTATAGTTCACGCTTTATTTATCATCATCTTGACGTATATTGCGTATACTGTGAAGTCGAAAATTATCAACAATAACAGCGAAAATTAGCAAGGTGTAGAGCCTGTTCTGGTGTTTCAGACTGACAGACGTGGCAATGCTAGACAATAACGAACTCTACGTTGACGTGCCATGTATTGATAGTACTACGCGTAAATTTTATAGCGATTATGTTGGATTGGCCCCTGGTGAAGTCGAGACACATGTGAAAAGGGTGCGCGACAAGGCATATAAAATATATCCATACCCGTGTCTTGGGCAGTATTCATTCAATGAGTTTAGCTTGGCAATGCTTCCTGATTATCCGGAAGTTTTACAACGTGTCAAAGGTGGTGACAAGATATTAGACGTTGGTTGCTGTTTGGGCCAAAATATTCGTAAGCTTGTGGCAGACGGCGCTCCTCCAGAAAATATTGTAGGAACCGATCTTCAACAAGATTTTATCAATTTTGGTTACGAAATGTATGGAGATCAAGAGAAGTTGAAAGTTTCGTTCACAGCAGGCGACATATTCAACGAATCCTTCCATCAAACTTTGGCAGGGCATTTTGACATTGTCTTTGCGGCATATTTCATTCATTTGTTCGACTATAATGATCAAAAGCGTGTGATGAGACAAATTGCAAAGTTTATACGCGGAAAAGGGGGCATGATTCTGGGTCAACAACTAGGTTCGACGAAACCGAAAGAAATTATTTGGTTAGGACGTGGTGTATATTTCCACAACCAAGAATCTTTCAAACAGATGTGGGACGAAGTCAACGGCAAAGAGTGGTCTTTAGATGCATCGTTATATCAATCGGAGTGGGCGAATCGACAAACAGAATTCCTCAGATTTATCATACGTAAGCTATAAACTTAACTTAAATTTATCTGTACTCTGCTCGTTAGAACAAAAATATTCAGAATTGTCTCTTATTTTCTTCGTTATTGTTCAAATTAATATTTAAAAAATATTTGCACATCTATGTCTGCGGTCAATCAGCACAAAATAATATGCTCGCACATCAAAAGTAATGCATGACGACATGCTCATATAGATTATCTGTTTTGGGAAATCAAAAAATCACGCTTTTCGATACCCAAGAGCATTACTTTTTATATGTCCGAATGATTGTGTTCCTAGCTGGAAGAAAACGGATAAACTAATGGGACTAAATCGAGAAAAGGTGTCGATGTTTTGAGTATCAAAAGATCCGCTAATTACCAGAAGTGGATGAACAGATTAGATTTCGATGCGAAAAACTTTGACAGGACGTTTTGACATTGTCTACGCTGGAAATTTGTGAGTAAACCTTTTTTTCGGTTATTATATGTTCAGGTTGTTTAGCTAACTCAACAACAAGTGTCGTTGTGTTTTTCCACTTATTTTACAGATATACTTTCAAAATCGTTCCATTTTTCTGGTAAACTGTTGATATCATCATTGATACCTTCAATGGTATTTTAATTTCATGCATTCTGAAACCAACTTTTCTTTTTCTTGCCTATAAGCTATCAATTTTTTCAACGTGAGATTTGAGCATATTAACTCTTTAGTTATAGCTTGACATAAGCGAACTATTATTAGACAACTTTTAAGCATCTGTAAACAGCAACTCGTTAGCAAACAGGATCAACTTGCAACGGGGCGGTTTAGAAAGAAACTATAGATATTTTGATCCGTCCTTTCATGTAGAGTCCGAATCTAATATCCACTTTTTGGTACAAAGTCTACTTTTCGAGAAACGAGAAAAAAACAGTTTTGATCTATAGATATATTTTTTCTTCAAATATCTTTTGTGCATCGAACGTTGTTAAGAAAGATACAGAGCGGAAAAGAAAATTGTATGATCTTATGTATGTACTTTACAACTATAATACATTTATGCTCAAAGTCTTGACTATCGAACAGCAAAAACCGCGGGTCTCTATCTCATTCCTATCAATAGTTATTCAAAAACCAACGACCTACTTTTTATTTTGGACCCATAGTAGAATAGTAACAACCAAAACCGAGCACATTATAAACCTTATTCGGTTATAACCGTTGGTCGGTTAATTCGGTCTCGGTTTAATCGAAACGTCAGTTAACCAAACAGATGCAGATCTAGTAGGAAAATGACGAAAAATTTACCATTACCGACCAAGTCCAAAATGCATATACCCTAAAGCTGCACTGCCTCCTGATCTGCGATTTTGAAGTTTAAGTATCAGTAATATAGACCTATTATCTATATAGGCTCTCATCCCTTAAGCAGAAACCTCTGTAAAGCGTGCAAGATTTCAGCTAGAATCACTCGATACAGTTTTGTCGGTTTCATACTTGATGTTAGTGCTGTTCTATATAATCTTTTTTATTTTATTCTTGATAATCGTTACCACATGAGACTGCTGTTTAAATTTCCAAAATGATTTCATTTCAGTGGCACATTCACTTTGTTACAAGTTGAACGTACTATAACTTGGAAGGTAGATAATATGAAGCTATTTTTACAGTAGTATTGCAATTTTTGAGTCACCATGATTACATGGTGAAAAGAACATAAATTCTGAGAGTGTCAGATTTTCACCTGAGGCAATTCTTACCAACAACGACTCTTAAACGAACCATCGTACCTTCTTCTAGTTTCTGGCCCAATTTATCTCATTGAATAAACATAAACAGTAATCAGCTGCACAAAATCATGCATGACTGGTACAACAGTTTGACCAATGTCTTCGGAAATAATAAGACCGACTTTTTCTGTTTAAACATCATAATCGATACATTCATTTAGATCATTAAGTGTTCTTAAATAATTGATTGATTCACGCAGTTTTGATTGCGTTTCTAAGTTTTCCTCCATACTATTTACATTCTCATCAAACCACACTAACGAAAATATTTCATTTTGGTTGAATCGTTTATAGCGTTTGTTGCTATTTCCGATAGCCATCAGTTTTTTTAGAAGAGTAAGATTGTCAAAAACTGTATTGACACATAGTACTTCTCAATGTTTTTTTCCTTTCTTTCAACAGGACAAAAGGCAACAGACGATGTTTTTTTTTGTTTCTTTAACTTAGTAAGTTTTATAACGCATACAATACCGTAAAAGCATCAGCTTTGTGCTCCGTAGTGAAAAGAAATGTTAATATTTTGCTCTTTAAGAAACACACATAAGAACGAAGTTTTTCTTCGTATAACCATATCTCCTTAATAAAATCATCGTACATCATATCAATAATTCGATCCACAAACTTAGAAACTTTGAACCATACCAAACAGCGTAAAACGCCTTTTAGCTTTGAGCTGTACAGAATTGCTATTACCATTGGAAATTATACACAGTATATATCGGATGACCCAGATAAAATTGGGCACTTTCTTTTCGTTGTTTTTGAGGCACTGCTTAGTACTCTAAAGGATTTATTCTAAGCTCAATCGATAGAGAATTGAATTCTCTACAAAACCTGCTATTTGATCTCTGATAGCATTTTTCTCGTTAGAGCACCATTGACAATATTGATGCAAAAACGGGTGCTGAGTTGTCAAATTGCGACAAGCCTTTTAGCCCATTGTCTGAGACTCAATAGTTAACTTATCTGCGTAGATAGATAGAGAATTTTGTGCTCTATCGATCTCACTTCTTTACAACTTCATACAATGTTTCTGCTACAACAATTGGTCTTATAATTAGCACTCAACCGGCTTTTCAATTTTTTCAAATTAAATTAAACTTTTTAATTAATGGTTTCAGTTGAGAAACTTTGTGTATATCCCAAACGATGCCAAATTTAATTCTGTATAAGATAATGAGACTAAAACACTGGATTCAGAACGTTTTACTACTTTTATAGTCAAAAACTAAAGTTTGTGAAAAATAGGTTCAAAAGTTAGGTTTTTTGGATTTGTTAGTTTTCTACACAGAGCAACTATTTCTCTCCAGAAGTAATTCCAAAGTCTGAAACACAGATGTTCCGAATCAACTCGACGAGTTCTGTCTAATTATGTGTAAATTGTTGAGAAAAGAATAATGTGCAAGTTTTGAATTAAGGACGCCTTACATTATTCACACAAGATGTCGAATGATTCATGAGTAGGCATATAACAGTTCCGTCTCAGCTCTAGGAACGGGAACTGGTGCGTCGATTCTAGTTCATATGTAAAGGACTGTTCGACCGGTTCTTTTCTCAAGAACTAGGTCGGACCACAAGTTCCTTTCTCAGGAATTGGAGCTGGTTCTTTTCTCACGAACTGAAATTAACCATCAGTTCCTGTGATAAGAACTGGTAAGACAATCATGATTTTACCTCGTTCTAGCGCGAGCACAGTGCAGCTATGCCAGCGTTGGCTGTTCTTGTGCTCAAATACTGGGCTATCAGCACATCGAGTATACCAAGTGAAAGCCCATTTAGTGTCGCGAACTTTGTTTTACGGAAAAATCGGCTGGCTTTAACTAGCAGAAATCTAAAATATACAATGTTTTTGAAGGATAAGCTGGACTAGTCATTCGCAGTTTGCTTATCCTTGCTTTGTGTTAGAAAAAAATGCGTTCGTCCGATGTCAAATCGTTTTATAGTTTTTTATTCATAAAAATTGATTTTCTGCTGTTTCTTTGATATCGATGTATCGTGTTTTCAGGTGATCACTTTCCTGCCTTATTCAAAACTGCGTGTAAAACGTTCGCTTCTTTTTTAAAAAAAGAATCATCAGCTCCAGTTCTTTTGAGCAGAAATGGTGATCATTTCCAGTTCTTCAAAAAAGAATTGGTGTTCAATTTCAGTTCTTCAGAAAAGAACTGAAATTCACTACGAGTTCTTCTCGCAAGAACTGGTACTGACCACCAGTTCTTTTCTGAGGAACTGAAGCTGAACACCAATTCTTTTCGTAAGAACTGGACCTGACCATCCGTTTCTTTCTCAGGAATTGGAACTAGACACCAGTTCTCTACGACAGTTCTCGCGAACTGTGAACCGACCTATTCATGAGGGTGAATAGAAAACTCTCCAGTTTTTAGTATAATTTCCTTGTACAGGGCCACTTGTATCCAAAAATCCTGGAGTATTCCAGAGGATAATCCCACCATTTTGCTGCATGCCTATATCCATAAAATTTATGGGAATAGCGGTAATATGTCTTGTTTCTGATAGAGGATGTGGACTTGTTGTAACATTTTTTCTCACTTCAATTGGAGCAATATGAAGTAATTGATCCACCTTTGTCGCTGCCATTTTAGATCCTGCCAGAAAATGAATAGTTGTTGATTTGCCTGATCCAGTTCCTTCTAATAAAAGGATAATATCTTGTTCCTTTATTAATTCTGCACATTCATCTGTTTTCTTGGTCAATCGTAACATCTCTTGAATATTAAATGGTCTTAATTCTTTTAAAAGTATTTCTAAATTAGATTTCGTCATGTCCCAATTTGGAATTTTGACATTTGCTATGGTTTGTTCAACAATGCTTTTAATTTTCTAGAATTCTTGTTCTTCTATTTTCAATTGATCTTTTAGGTTTTTAAACTCTTTTTGAATTTTTTCTTCTATTTGATCAGGTACTTGAATAGTTTTATCTGAAAGTATCCGTTCATCTGCTAGTTTCAATAAAATATAATAGACGAGACGAATTATCCCAAGCAAAACTGAGTAAGCGAGAAAATCTAGCTGCAAAAATAGCTGCAGCTCCCACTTACAGCTAGATTAACTAGATTAAGGGGTACATTTATCTAGCTACATGCTGATTGAAATCGTATACTAGTTGAAACGGCTGCTGCATTGGCCAATTAATGGCGGAACGAATTGCCCGATTAATCGATAGCAACTAGTTGTACCCAGTTGAAGCTAGATTCAATCTAGCTGAAGCTATATCAAATTTTCATGTAGTTCACTGCATCTAGCTGAAGCTAGATAAATGTACCTTTTGATCTAGATGCAGCGCTTGCTTCATGATTTTTTTCGTGCTTGGGATGTTTCTTTCACTACAAGGTGGCATTGACGAAACGTCATTATACATGTTAATTATAGTATCTTTTTTCTTTTGATTTAATTCAGAGCAAGGTTTTCTCTCAGTATATTTTATGAATTTCGTTTTTTCAGGTATTAATTGCGATTGCCGTAATTCTTTTTCTTTCGACAGTTCTACATTCTGAATGTCATGATTAGCCAAATCATCTACCGACTCTTTGTCCAATGTTTAATACTCATTATTTGAATCAACATGTTTTAAAACTTCAATCTGATTGCCTAATGATTTTAACTGTTCTAATTCTGTAAAACATTGACTTTCTTTTTCAGCCTCTTCCATTCTTTCTGTGTCTTGGTGCTCGTTTATTCGCTGTTTCATGCGGATTATTTTTTCTGGCAACTTTGTCACATCTTGAATTTTGTACCTGTTCAAGCCAGTAGTCAACTTCTGCTCTAAGTCGTGAAGTCTTGTTCTGCTACTATCCTTCGAAATAGGTGCATCTGATTTTAGAGCGCGTATTTCTTGATTCAGTAATTGTAACTGTTCTAATTCGGACAAATATTTATCTTCTTTTTTTGCCTCTTCCATTCTTTCTTCTTCTAGGTACTCCTTTATTCGCTCTTTTGTTGTGATCATCTTTTCTAACAACTTTTTTGTATCTTGAATTTTGCATCTGTTCAAAGCAGTACTCAATGTTTGCTCTAATTCACGAAGTTTTATTCCGTCACTGCCCTTGGAAATGCAGTCATTGATCGATTGTCTTGCTGACGAATATAAAAGACATTACAAAATTCTAAGTTATAAGTTCTTAGGCATTCTACATGTAATCGGCGAAGCTCTTCAGTATTGGTTTTTGGAAGTTCTAAATTTTGTGCAGCTATTATTAAGTTTTCAATAGTACAGGGTGATCCAAAAACAACTTACCCCCTGTGTATTTATTGACTTTCTTGTGTACAAATATAATTGAACTTTTTACCATTAGTTTATTCGAATAGAGCAAAGATTTTTGGACAAATGAGACGTCGCCGAGCTCTCTAAGAACTTTTTTCATGAAACAGCATTGAATTTACGGAAGGTCCCAAGAGCATATTTTTCTTGTTTGCCCATTAATTGTCCCGATTTTGGTGGTATGGGATCTTCCGTAAATTGAATGCTGCTTCATGAGAAAAGCTCTTCCAGAGCTCGAAGACGTCTCATTTCGTCCAGAAATCTTTGCTCTATTCGAATAAACTAATGGTAAAAAGTTCAATTATATTTGTACACAAGAAAGTCAATAAATACACAGGGGATAAGTTTTTTTGGATCATCGTGTATAGGCTCCACAACTTGTAAGATCGTCCTGCTTTAACAAATCTCTTGTCTGAAAAATGCCATCTTGATAAACCTCAGTCAATTGCTCTTGTAATGTCTGCGGAATAATATTAGTATCATTTAATGAATCAATATATTCAGCACGCTTAATCTGTCCATAACTATTTTGTGATTTTTATTTATTATATTTAACCATTGAATTGTTTTACGCATTCATCTGTTGGCGAAATTTTATTGAATGTTTGATACTCCTTCATAGATTAATATGGAATTTATGTCAACATTTGAGATAAGATTAGCTGAGTAGAGCTTTGTATTTTCTCTGTTACTGTGACCTCTCTCCTTTTATTTAAATAAATAAATTAAAAAAATTGTATTTCTACGAAACGAAAATATCACAGATTCTAACGGAATTTTCAGCTCAATTATAGTCTCGTTTCTGAGATGGACTCATTTCAAAAATGGACGTAGCTCGTTAGGAGGCGTTCTTTTTATGACTGACGATGTGGGAGTATATTTTGATTTTCTCAGAAACTACTGTATCGGATGACCCAGATAAGATCGGACACTTCATTCGTTGTTTTTGAGGCAATGCCCAGTAGTTCATAGAGTCTATTCTAAGCTCAATCGATAGATGAAATTGACTTTTTGAGGTTGCATTGCAAGATGGAAGGTTTGAACTATATTTTTCTGAATTAGCATTGAAAACTGATTTAGAAAAAGGTTTTCAGTTCATTTTCGAGGTCAGTACTCATTCATTTTGTAAACCTATCTAGTTTTTTGGATGAAGGGCTATAATGATGATTCATACACCATCAGGTCGGCCAACACGCCAGCTTTAAAAATATATAGAGCTTTTTTTTAAACTTTGTTTCGTTGCTCAGAAAATTCATTTTTTCTGATTAATTAGTAATATAAAAGTATTTTTATATCACTAGAATTCTGCAGACTTTTTGGTTTACAAACACATTTAATGCACAACTGCTTATTTTCTTTGATTAAATTTTGTCAATAGATCTGTTCTTTTTGTTTATTGAAATCCGAAACATTTTATATTTTTTCTTTACACCTACTATTGCATACCCTTTCAACAGTATCGTAAATTCTTTTGTTTTTTTATTTTAGGCTTGTACGGAGTAAATAATTCAAAAAATAAGATGGATTTAGTTGGACAAGTATAAATGAGGAGAACAGTTATCTAGTATATTTTATTCTGCTTCTAACTCACATAGATCTTTAAGACAAATTTTTGAACCTTGACTGTTCACATTTCGAAGCATTTCACTACCCAAGCAGACAAACATTTGGAAAAACGCGTTTAAACGCTCAAAAGGGAACCGCGATTGTGAGTCAGTAACGCTCATTAAAAAAAACGCAAGAAACGCGTTTTTTGCGCAAAATTTTCACTTTCA